GTTGTCACCCCGCTTAGTCCTCCCGCACCCGTCGGATTCGCCCGTGCCCACAGTCCGTCGTGGCCCACGTCAATCCCGCGCGTTCGGCACCAGCCCGTCGGGTCGCCCAACTCCTACTCTACTCACCTCTTACTTCGCTCGTGTGCCGACCCTTCTTGATCGCGCAACCCTGAGCTTCCAACAACGGGTTAAGAGAGCTGACTAATCGCGCAGCCGAAATTTATAGCGTGCATGCATGCGCATAGAACACGGAATTACCAAGACTTAGAGTGAAGATTAGAGAGGGAACGTCTGCGTTCTGCATGATCGGCCGAGGCGTGGGGGACGTAACCCTTCTCCACGCATCGATCCGAGCATGCAAGCCGCGGCTTACAAAATTTCAGCAAAAGAAAGAGAGGGAGGGTCACCCAAAATTAAAGTTACACATACGATTAAGGGCGCCCACTAATCAGAGTACCGTTGCAGCCGCATGAAGAAGCGCGTAAACAAAAGGCGCCGCGCGGCAGGAAAAATCCTTATTACTTAATTCCTAAATTCCTATCTAATGCGAAAAAGCAAAAABCACGAATTCTAGAAGGAAAGTCCGAAATTCCGAGAGCCATTGGGGGCTCGACAAAATTCAAAAAAGATTTAAGAGGAAATTTTAAGAAGAACGAAGCAATTTCCCGCGCGATATCCGCGCCYAAAAGATCGAAAGCCGAACCAAAAGAAACGACGTCAACATTTATTAATCCCGCGCGCGTGTGGCGTCGCGCTAGACAACCATCCGACCAATTAATCAACCGGCCGTCCCAGGACACACCCGACCCCGTGCCCGACCATTCGAAAAAGAAACGACGAAAAAGGACGAAAAARCGAGGACACTGATGCAATTCTCCACCAATCCCGATCTCCCGTAATTGGCCCAATCTTCCCAGCTTAGGACCCCTCATTGCAACCGCGCAAAAAATCGCGCGTTACAGAAAGTGGTTCGTCACAAGACAGCCTCGTTGACTTCTACATAAGGCTGGCCTCGAGCAAGTCAAGCATTCAGTCTTGCTATGCTGCTTTGACGTGGGCTCGACTTTGACTAGACGCTGGCTATATGCTGGATGTGCATCGGCGGCAGACGACGACACAAGGTGGAGGCGGCATGCTGGCATTTGCTCCAGGCCATGCTGCCGTGGCGCTGCCTTTGGTGATGTGGCGCTGCCTTTGGTGATGTGGCGCTGCCTCTGGTCTGCATGGCACGCTGATGTGGCGCTGCCTCAKGTCTATGTGGCATGYTGACGTGGCGCTGCCTCTGGTTTATGTGGYGCTACCTCTGGTCTACGTGGCATGCTGATGTGGTGCTGCCTCTGGTTTATGTGGCGCTGCCTCTAGTTTATGTGGCGCTGCTCCTGGTCTACGTGGCGCTGCTATAGGTCTTCATTGATGATGTGGTATATGCCACCT